AAAAAATATAAAACAAGAGGCCCAGGGGCCACAGCGCTCACCTGAGCACATTGGCTAGGAAAAAGCACATATCAGATCAGAACTGAAAGTTAACTGGGGGGGGGGGGGGGGGGGGGGGCTTAAATTTTAACCCCCAGGGGTTCATGATTTGAACAAACTAGAATCTACACTACCTGAAGATGATTCCATATTAATATCACTAATCATAGCTTTGAAGTACTTGAAAAGATGATTTTAAAAGGTTTCCCTATAAATCCCTATGTAAAACTTTGGTCGGCCATTTTGGCCCCACCCTAGCCGCAGGGGTCATGATTTGAACAAACTTGAATCTACACTACCTGAGGATGATTCCACATGAGTTTCATCTTTCCTGGCCCAGTGGTTCTGGAGAAGAAGATTTTTAAAGATTTTTCCTATATATTCCTATGTAAAACTTGGGTAGGCCATATTGGCCCCACCCTAGCCCCGGGGGTCATGATTTGAACAAACTTGAATCTACACTACCTGAGGATGATTCCACATGAGTTTCATCTTTCCTGGCCCAGTGGTTCTTAAGAAGAAGATTTTTAAAGATTTGTCCTATATATTCCTATGTAAAACTTGGGTCGGCCATTTTGGCCCCACCCTAGCCCCGGGGGTCCTGATTTGAACAAACTTGAATCTACACTACCTGAGGATGATTCCACATGAGTTTCATCTTTCCTGGCCCAGTGGTTCTGGAGAAGAAGATTTTTAAAGATTTTTCCTATACATTTCTATGTAAAACTTGGGTCGGCCATTTTGGCCCCACCCTAGCCCCGGGGGTCCTGATTTGAACAAACTTGAATCTACACTACCTGAGGATGATTCCACATGAGTTTTATCTTTCCTGGCCCAGTGGTTCTTGAGAAGAAGATTTTTCCTATATATTTCTATGTAAAACTTGGGTCGGCCATATTGGCCCCACCCTAGCCCCGGGGGTCATGATTTGAACAAAATTGAATCTACACTACCTGAGGATGATTCCACATGAGTTTCATCTTTCCTGGCCCAGTGCTTCTTGAGAAGAAGATTTTTAAAGATTTTTCCTATATATTTCTATGTAAAACTTGGGTCGGCCATTTTGGCCCCACCCTAGCCCCGGGGGTCCTGATTTGAACAAACTTGAATCTACACTACCTGACGATGATTCCACATGAGTTTCATCTTTCCTGGCCCAGTGGTTCTTGAGAAGAAGATTTTTAAAGATTTTTCCTATATATTCCTATGTAAAACTTGGGTCGGCCATTTTGGCCCCACCCTAGCCCCGGGGGTCATGATTTGAACAAACTTGAATGTACACCACCTGAGGATGATTCCACATGAGTTTCATCTTTCCTGACCCAGTGGTTCTTGAGAAGAAGATTTTTAAAGATTTTTCCTATATATTTCTATGTAAAACTTGGGTCGGCCATATTGGCCCCACCCTAGCCCCGGGGGTCATGATTTGAACAAACTTGAATCTACACTACCTGAGGATGATTCCACGTGAGTTTCATCTTTCCTGGCCCAGTGGTTCTTGAGAAGAAGATTTTTAAAGATTTTTCCTATATATTCCTATGTAAAACTTGGGTCGGCCATTTTGGCCCCACCCTAGCCCCGGGGGTCATGATTTGAACAAACTTGAGTCTACACTATCTGAGGATGATTCCACATGAGTTTCATCTTTCCTGACCCAGTGGTTCTTGAGAAGAAGATTTTTAAAGATTTTTCCTATATATTCCTATGTAAAACTTGGGTCGGCCATTTTGGCCCCATCCTAGCCCCGGGGGTCATGATTTGAACAAACTTGAATCTACACTACCTGAGGATGATTCCACATGAGTTTCATCTTTCCTGGCCCAGTGGTTCTTGAGAAGAAGATTTTTTTAAAATACCATTAATTTTTCTCTTATTCATAATTATCTCCCCTTGGAAAAGGGCGTGGCCCTTCATTTGAACAAACTTGAATCCCCTTTACCCAAGGATGCTTTGTGGCAAGTTTGGTTGAAATTGGCCCAGCGGTTCTTGAAAAGAAGTCGAAAATGTGAAAAGTTTACGGACAGACAGACGGACAGACAGACAGACGGACGCCGGACAAAATGTGATCAGAAAAGCTCACTTGAGCCTTCGGCTCAGGTGAGCTAATAAAAGCCGCCAGCCCGCTTCGATTTTTAAAAAAATTTGGATGAGAATCTAGCAATTTATTTATTATGGCCTAAAGAGAGTCATTATTTATAAATGATATTTATATTTGATGCTGAGTGAAAGCATTAAAATGAATAAATAATTCAGTTTTTTTTATTTACCTGGCTTTACTAATAATAATTGTACATTGCAAGTCAAAGACCATGGATTTCAGTTCTAGTAATCATACTGAAACTTGTTGTGTAACCTTTTAGGCATTGTATATGTCATGTTTCCTTACCAGTGTAGTCTGTGTGCATGTCTTTGTACTCAGCCCCGAAGTGTCGCCACTGGAAGCCGTAAACTGGCCCCAGGTCGCCCTCCTCTCTGTGGGTCAGACCAAGGTTGTCCAGGAACTCCCGCGAGCCGTTGGCGTCCCAGATGTGGATGCCTTTCTCGCTGAGTTTCTTGCCGTTTGTACAGCCCTGGACAAACCACAGCAGTTCCTCAGCCACACCTCGCCAGAATACTCGCTTCGTTGTAAGCAGCGGGAAAGAATCTCTAAGATTGTATCTACAAAATATATTCTTTATTTATAAATTCATTTATTGGTACTAAATCCAAATGATTTCTGTAAAAATTACGAAATAATTGTAAATGTACAACAAAATTACATTGTGAGGCTTTCAGACGAACTAATAGGGATGTGCAATTTTATCGGTATACCGGTATATCGCGATTTTTTGTTGCGTGATATATATCGTGATACGGAGACCTAAATACCAATATTAAGGTACATATTATAAAGTCCAGAAATTATTCATTTATTTGTTCAATCTTTCAAATTACAATTATAGGTAGTCTAAACAAAGGTGTAAAGGTGAAAAGAACAGCATCTTACCATCAAAGCATGATAAATTTTATGTACATAAAAATTTCAAAAAAAGTGAAATTATGTTTTTCTAGCATATTTTTAAGTAAAATGACAATTAATTAAAATCATTGTAAAAATTTATTGTAAAAACATCATGATATTATCGTGATATTTTGGGAAAAAATCATGATATATCACGAAACGAAATTTCTGGCAATACCCATCCCTACTAAGCAGGGATGGGGTAATTGAATAAAGTAATTGTAATTGAGTGTAATTAATTACATTTTTCAAAGTAATTGGAAGTAATTTGTATTTGAGCAAGCCTTCAATTACAAGTAATTGAATGTATTTAAACACATTTCAAAAAAGGTCATGTATTTTCAATTACTTTTTTTTTCAAAATGATCGAAAGTTTATATTTAAAAAGGTGTCTTATACTGATACATAGTTTTATACTAGTGGGTTTATATTACTTATTCCCATGTTTTATAAATCTCAGGTCTCCCTATTCCCAATTGCAAATAACAATGATTGTTCAGATAGTTAATTTGTTTAACAGCAATTAGACTAACTACATCCCCTTTTAGATTTACCTGTATTCTATTCATTTTAAGATAGAAAATAATGAATGGAATTGTGATGGATATTATTCATTTCCTTCAAAAATATGGATTTGAGAAAGTAACAAAAAAGATCTTGCCATATACCATACTGGTGTAGCATGGGCTTGTGTTTGTACAATAATTAATTGTCTCATAATGTTTAATTTGTTTATACAGTGTGTCACACTCATTATAAGGTAAAGGTCTAATTTTGACCAGGTGTGAACCCCTGTCATACCCAAGAACAAAAACACTGAATGAAAGTTTGAATTCAATCGCTATAGAAAAAAATCTTATTTAAAAAAAATCTTTATTTTTTTTTTTATAACTCGAAGTAATTGAAATGTATTTAATTACATTTGTCAAAGTAATTGAAAGTAATTAATTACATTTGAAAAAATCAATGTAATTGTAATTGCAAGTAATTGACAAAATTATCAATGTATTTGAAAGTAATTAATTACATTTCAAAGTAATTGACCCCAAGCCTGCTACTAAGACTAAGTTGTACCATATTGCACAATATGTGACAGCATTTTGCTATGGCATGATGGTAAGTGTGTTAAATCTTGTTAATATCTGTGCATTTTGATTGACACAAATATGGTTTTTACAATGCAATTATAATGCCTAACAAACAGGTCCAGTACAAAGACTATTTCTACCTACGTAGCTATAATAGCTACAAACTTGAAGGTATTTAAACCTACCCAAAGAAGCTATTTTTACTTACTTTTTGTATTATCTGCATTTTGTGGCCAAATTAAGACCGAATGGCGCAACATGGTGAAAACCATATTTTTTATACTGTCACACTAATGATTGATTAATTGATTGATTGTTAATTGTTTAACGTCCCTCTCGAGAATTTTTCACTCATATGTAGATGTCACCGTATGCCGGTGAAGGGCTTCAAATTTTGACCTTTACTCGGCACTCAGGGCCATTGAGCAGTGAGGGATCTTTATCGTGCCAACGCCTATTGACACGGGGCCTCGGTTTTTAAGGTCTCAACCGAAGAACCCGCAACAACTTTCACTTCAAAGTGCCGAGCGCATGGCGAAGGAACAGTTGCTACCCAATTTAATCGACTTAGGTCAGTCGCGGCCGAGATACGAACTCACGACCTCCCGATCACGGAGCGAGCGCTCTACCGACTGAGCTACCGTGAACGGTGTCACAATAGTGATGAACTGAATACGATAAATTTTGGACAAAAAATAATTACTTCCTTTTACATTAGTTTCTATGCAAAATTGTTAATTTATGAAGTAATCACTTTTTGGCCAAATTTTGTCATAACTCATATCTATCATCAGTGTGACTGTATCAAGAAATTTGACACCATATTGCGCCGTTCTGACATTTGGCCACAAAATGCAAGTAAAGCAGAAAGTAGGAAAAAATAGCTACTTTGGGTGGGTTTAAATACATACATAGTTATTAATACTAAATAATAGTTACATAGGTAGAAATAGTTTTTGGACTGGACCTGACAAATGATCAAAATTAAGTTGCGGGGTTTTAGTCCCCTAAAGATAAATTTTCCAACATTTTCTAAAAACAGTAATTCTCCCCGAAAACCTTGGCTTAAGCTATAAATTGTGCTAGACCTGCTCTACCTCTGAGCCTAGGTATCATTCATAAATTTTCCAACATTTTCTAAAAACAGTAATTCTCCCCGAAAACCTTGGCTTAAGCTACAACAGGCCCAAGGGCCTTGAATCGCTCTTCTGATAAATTATACAATCTATCCTAAGACCCAAGATGATTCTTAGCCAGTTAGGGCTGAAGATATTTAAATGTAACTATAAAATACTACAAGTAGGTCATGGTGACCTACTTTTTGATTGAAATTTTCAGAGGATACAAGATGCATTAATTGACAAAGATTGATGATTCTATGCCAATAAGTACTTGAGATATTCAAAAGTGGGTCACAGTGACCTACTTATTGGTCAACATTCTCTGAAAACCTAAGATGCATCAAATGATAAAATTTGATGATTTTAAACCAATAAGTACCTGAAATACCTAAATATAGCCCAAGGTGCATAAACTGACAAAGTTTGACAATTCTAAGCCAATAAGTACCCTAGAATACTGAAATATAGCCATAAATGTCACAAGTAGGTCACCATGACCTATATTTTGAGCATCATTCACAAGAAAAAAGATGCATCAAATAACAAAGTTTAATGATTTTAAACCAATAAGTACCTGAAATACCTAAAGATAGCCATAAAATGACAAAAATAGATCACTGTGACCTACTTTTTGGTCGACATTCTTCAAAAAACCAAGATGCATCTACTGACAAAGTTTGATGATTCTAAGCAAGTCAGTACCTGAGATATTCAAAAGTGGGTCACCGTGACCTATTTTTTGGTAAACATGCTCCGAAATGTCTTCTCTCTAAGATGCATCAAATGACAAAATTTGACGAAAAAACCAATTAGTTATACCTGAGATACATAAAACTAGCCATGAAATGTAAAATAGGTCACTGTGACCTACGTTTTGCAGACATGCTACGAAACAGCAAAATGCATCGAATGACAAAGTTCGATGATTCTAAGCCAATAAGTACCCAAGATACTAAAATATAGCCATAAAATGTCAAATGTAGGTCATTGTGACCTACTTTTTGGTCGTTAATGATCAGAAAAATATAGTTGCAAAATACAAAAATGATTCTAAGCCAATTAGTTAATACATTTAAATCTAGCCATAAAATGTCGAAGTAGGTCACAATGACCTCCTTTCATTAATAATACGATTTTATTTTCTGTAATGTGTTATTTAAAGATGCATCAACTGACAAAATTTGATGATCATAGGTCTAATAGTATTCAAAATATGCCCTTTAAACAATTTGAAAACAAATGCCTGCAAAGTTCTTTATATAAAGTAGGTCACAGTGACCTACTTTTTGTTTAATATGTTTTAAAGCCATATATGCATCAACTTACAAGATTTGGTGATTCTAAACCTCATGGTGTCTGAAATAATGGGATTAAATGTTTTAGAAAAGATTAGCCATAAAAAAAAAGTAGGTCAAAATGACCTACTTTTAAGTTGATGTTGTTTGTGGACCCAAGATGCACCAACTGACAAAGTTTTATGATCATAGGCCTTAAAGTGTCCAAAATATGCCTCCAAATCAATTTGAAAACAAAAGCCAGTAAAATTTAAAAAGTAGGTCACCGTGACCTACTTTTGTATTAACATGATGTCAAGTCCTGAGATGCATCAACTTACAAGATTTGATGATCCTAGTCTTTATAGTAAGCAAAATATAAACGTTTTTAACAAGTGTAAATTTTGGTCAGGAACTTTGAAGTGATATTTAACAATTGCCCTTTGCCCCAGGGTCATGCCTTGAACAATTTTTAATCTTCAACATATCCCGACCCTTGTTTCTAAGTTTGGTGAAAATCTGCCTGGTGGTTCTGGAGAAGAAGATTTTTTAGCAACTAGTACTTTTGGTTTTATTTAAGTGATTATCTCCCCTCGTTTTAGGGTCCCACCCCTAATTTTAGTATAAATGGTAGCCCTTGGGCCAAGGATACCCTGTGACAAATTTGACGAATAATTGGCCAAGGGGTTCATGAGTTATGGCCCATATTCTAAAAAGTTAACGCACACCGCCTTTGGCTCAGAAGAGCTAATAAATTGTGTTAGACCTGCTCTACCTCTGAGCCTAGGTATCATTCATATCATTCTTGGTATCATTGCATTTTCAGGTTGCCCAAATGGGATATAATAACCTTTCTTGGATATAATATCTTAAATGGGATATAAATTTACAATGCCAAAAAGTGAAATTTTTTATCTTGGCTTTAAATATCATAAATCCGCATCAAGATACGCATAAAGGAACAACTTTTGATTAACAAGTTTTCCTGTGTGACCATGGTTTAAGAGATTGATCCCTCGGAATTTCATAAACTTCTTGGGGATCAATCTTACAACCTGAAGGGTTGCAGAAAAACATGCTTGCCAAGTTATTCCTTTTACAGGTCCAGGAAAATCACTGTTAATTCAGCTATATAGCTTAATTTACATATATAGCTTTATTTACCTGTATAATATAGCTTTATTTAGCTATTTTAGAATATATTTCACATTTCTGTTTTATGAAAAGCGCACAAAAATTCACATGGAAATTATGGCTGATATTTTTTTAAAAAAGGTTTGATTAAAACAACCTAGGGCATAGATCTAGATAGTAAAAACATTGCCTCTTTTAAACACTTTTTAACCAAAAAATGCATCTCTATTGTTTGGATAGCTGTCCCTCAATGGAAGTGCAGACCTGTTTACCCCTATCGTTGTCTCTCAGTATTTTTGATTAGATTTGTCCGTGAGATTTGGCATTTGCCAGTAAGATTTCAATTTCCATCAGTTTGATGAAGAACATCTGCTTTTCTGACTACTAAAAAATGGGTTTAATAACATGGTATTTATACATTTTATACCACGGCGTTTAGACAAACGGACATAACTGTGTTTGAAATTTTTTTTAAGCGATTAAAAACCTAGAAACTGAGACAGATCATAATGAAAACTAACTTCTAAATTCTAAACAAGTGTATTTCTTATCACCGTATTTTCATAACAGCAAAACGTGAGACGTATTTTAGACTAAAACCCGTACAAAATACGGCGAAATCGAAATAGTAAACAGGTCTGGAAGTGCGATGAGGCATGACTAAGTGTGATTGCCTTGCATTGTGCTGAATTATTACCAATCAATTATCTTGTTGACCAAACCTCCTTTTCTTAATCACAGATTAACTTTTTTACATAGCCCCAATACTTTTCGATCTTTGATTGCAATTGCCAGGACCTGTTTTAATAAATTTTGATGCGGATTTATGATATTCATAGCCAAAATAAAAATTTTCATTTTTTTGCACTGTAAATTTATATCCCATTTGGGATATTATATCCCAGACGGGTCACCATATGTCATTTGTTCCCACCTTGTTTTTTTTTGGGGGGGGGGTGTTTGAGTTATTCCTTTTTATGTAAGAACTAAGAAGCCTCTTTAAATAAAATCCCAATTCACTTAAAAGTTAAAACATAGTTAGTAAGTACTGTTTTTTTTTTTTTTTTTTTGTAATTATGTTAAATTAAACAAAATAAAAAACGCATTTGCATCCCAAAGATAGACAATGTATCGATGCCTGTCCTGTTGCTTTTTCTATGCCCGTGGTCAATAACACGCTGCACGGCTTCTAAATATAGTTCCTCGTCGTGTCTATTTTCTTTAGAATCTACATTTTTCATTCCATTTACATAGTCCCCGTCATCATTGCATGTTTCCATGTCTGTTATCTCTGTTACAAAGTTTGTGTTTTCCCTCCAATTTTGAATCGGCAATCCTTGGCTGACTCCTGTAAGGCACGGTGTATTGACCTGATAGTGTAATGACCTGATTGACCTGATGGGATATAAAATGCTATTTACTTAATATACAGAAGGAATTTGTGAAAGATCTTTTTCAAAATTGTTAATATTAATATAATATACAATCTGGTCACAAAATTTTTTAATTCAAAGTGTTATATGAGATTTATTGATGTTTATCCCATTTGAAAGAGTGTAAAGACCTGATATCTAGTGTATTGACCTGATGGAACGTTTTCCCCGATGATTAACTAAAGTTGTGGTATAGATATGTTATACTAAATTAATATATGTTTCAGTCAATTATTTTCTTTAAGTATAAAGTATTAAGTTTTATAAACTGGAATTTTATAAAGGTTTTTTAAAGTAACTTTCCCCGTTCAACGTGTAATGACCTGATTAAGAAAGACCTGATGGATTTATCCCAAGTAAATTATTTTGCATATAATTGTTGATTTATTTTGAATTTGACTTGTACGTGTAATATAGTTTTAGAAAACTAATATATAATTAAATCTTTTAGCTGTTTAGCAATTTCTGAAAATATTTACTTTGACGTGACTTGATTTCTTTAACCTGATATTTCTCTTCTGAAAACTTATACTTTTGAATGAATTATTATACTTCGTTAATCATTTTTGTCTTTACACAAAAAACTTGAATAAGTTATACAAAGAATGAATATGTAATGAATGTATATAAAACAAACTTGTGTGTGCTAATTTTTTTTTACCCCCCCCCCCCTCAAGACTTAAAGTCATTTGTGCAACAATTTAATAGAGAACCTCCTGAGTTTTAAGTTGTTATAACTTTTGTTGAAACATTTTGTGTAATCTTTATTTCAATAAAAGACGTTTGTTAAAATCAATAATGTTACAATGACCTGATATTTTTTGGAAATATTTTTCAATATATTTAACCTATAATTAAATATTTGAATGATCGACACGATGGATCCAATGACCTGATAAATCTTTTATGGATAGCATGATCTCAAAGATATATAACATATCTACATGTTTGTGAGATAAAAATTGAGTTTTCAGTAACTACACATACATTCATGCATTTATCTTTTTTCAAAATATTAAATAAATATATATTTAGCTCCATATTTATTGTATAAAGAGAGCAAGTGTGTAATGTTTATTATTTATAATGGCATATAGGAATATTAATTCAATTAGCAATTCAGATATGACCTTATTCATCTCAAATTCTACTGTTAAAGAATGAATGTAAAGATAATTGCACAATGTAATTTCTAATAAGAGTTTAATTTAAAAAAAAAAACATTTTAATTAAAAATAAATATTTGTTAATCTTCCACAAACAATGTAAAATATTTAATTTTTGTTGTGTTTTTCAATTCATTTAAAGACTTATAAATTGTATGTTTTTTTTTTTTTAATTTATTTTTATTTTAAGTGACCATTTCTTAGAGAATAATGCATTGGTAATTTATAGTGTCTAAGAGACACTGCCCCCCCCCCCCCCTTGTTTGTACATGTGTATATCCCCTACCCAGTTAATCCCCTGGATATGGCTTCTGTATATGTCACCTGTGTAATCCCAGTCAACACGGTAAACCAAGACTCGTGTGAATTGATAAACAAACACATAACACATTTAACTTTGTTATTATTTGCATATACATTTATTAAATACAGAAAATGTAAGATACATACATTTTATTTAAAAAAAATATTTTATAAAAAAATTCTTATACTTAAAACAAAACCACTTTCATTTTTCAACATCGACATTTTTTGAAAAAAAAAAAACGTCTAAAATATAGTTCAGTAATGTAAAAAAAAAAAAAAAGTCTACAAGGACGAATAATTAAGACTTCTTTTGAAAAAGTTTGGCTTAAGCAGGAAACAGAACAGTAGCATTGCTCCTTTTCTTAGATTTATTTAGATTATTTTAATGATATGTGTTAATATATGGTCATATATGGCGTATTTTTGATATGTTCAGACTAACTGAAGTTAAATTTAAAAAAGATCTTTCTATAATTTGTTTCGATACTTTATAAAAAAAGATAGGACTTTCCTGTAAATTACATAATTTCAATCATTCGCGTTTCATAGATATCAGAGATTTAAATCTGTAGCAGATTTTTTTCTGACTTGGAATTCAAAAATATTAGATACAGTTAAAAACTTCTTTTAACTATAGAAACGAAAGATATTTAGTTCCAAATCGTTGAAAAATTTAGTTTGAACATAAATAGCAAATATCATGTAAATTACTCTTAATCTCGTATTTTAATTTTTTAAGCTCAGATCAATACGCCATGTTATTGTTTTTTCTATGTGAAGTATTATATTCATTTATTTATTCAATTTGACAAAAACCACATGTGGCGCAAGTCATAGATACAGTTAACAAATTTTAAGATGTAAAGAGAAACTAGTAAAAAAATAAATTCTAAACAAGAAAAAGAAGTAATAAAGAGACTTCATAATATTTTTTATGATAATATAATTCCTTTTTGATTGCATCTAACACTGTCCCATGTGCACATAAAACAAAGTCTCAACCGATGAATTAATGTAAAAAAAATATATATATATATTTAAAAATTTCTATGCAAGAAATTAAGGATCGAACTGTATATTTTATTAAATCATTAAGAAATAATTGAAAAAAATAATTCACCAGGTATATATCTTCTGATCCGCAAATAACGTATCTTGTCAATATAGATCAGGTCATTCCATATCAGGTCATTACACCGTAGCAAAATTGAAATGAATATAAAAGTTTGTTAAAACAAAATATAAGAAGTTTATATGTTTTTACTAAAACATTATACAAATAGTAACCAAAATTTAAGAAAAAAAAAGTTTTTTAAGGGATATATATTTATCAAAACAACATAAACGTTCATCAGGTCATTACACTAAATATCAGGTCATTACACTGAATTGATTTGAATAATCTCCCATTCATGCAAATAAATGACTTATAAAATTTTATTTTTTGGTTTTATAATAGAAAATGACATAATATTTAAAATTAATTTATAAAAGTTTATTTTATTTGGTATTTTATCATTTATTTTTTTGAAATTATGTTCATCAGGTCAATCAGGTCATTACACTCATCAGGTCTTTACACTGTGCCCTCCTGTAACGAGTCTATAGACCCCAAACAGGCTAAACCCCGACAGGAAATATGTTTCTGTTGCGAAAACCCAACTGAATCGTGAATAAACGACTGAAATGTATTTACCTCCTTTATTCGGGTATCATTTTTTCCTGTTAGTTTCTGAAGTTTGTAAAGTCGTTGTCGGAAGTGAAATATAGAACTCATAACCACACAACTGTATAGTATCATCCATATGGGTTTAATATTATATTCAACGAAATAGAGGGCCTCGTTAGTTTATGCAGCGTGATTAAGAAAATTAATGGAATAAACATATATTTTATTAATGAAGTGAATAAAATTAAGTTTGGTGTTAACCACCAAATACCTATTTTATAATCCCAATGGGGGTAATAGTGACACTAATTATCATAACAGGTGCACAGTCGTCTCGTCACTAGAGAATTTAAGCACATTCTGTGACGGAAAAAAATCACAATTGACGCAAACTTATACGTCTAGTCTACAGTTGGAGGGGGGTCTATTATGGATTGTGTTTCTTTGGGGGAGTGGGGGTCATATTCTCTATTGAGAAGTCGGTTTGATTGTTTTAGTAAAAAAAAAAAACTAAATAAAACGAGCCATCAACTTCTATAGGAGAATAGGCCAATGCATCGTCTAAAGCCACGGTTCGGAGTCCGCGTATAGCTCTCTCCTACCAGAATGGGAGAAGATGGTACATGGCCGTGGTTTGAGACGTACGATGAGGCCCCTGGGAATCAAAACTTTTAAAGGTCTTATTGTTATTAATTAATAGCTCTGAAAATCTCTCTCTCCCCCTCCCCTCTTCAGTTCTAGATCGAGCTTTTAAAAAGGACATGCAGCAATATTAAGGACATTAATTTGTAATTCTCATTATTTATCTCTTGAAATATCATAATTAAAAAAATAAAGATAAAAAATACACTTTGTGACATCAACTTTCATCTTATATCTAACCAATCAGATAAGGCGAAACAGAAAAGCAGCTCCAAAACCTCCTCCAACGCTGCCAATGGAGAAAATTTTATGTATCCGATTAACAAATCGTCCGATTACGGCATATCAAACGCTAATAGCGGGGTTTAGGTTAAAGAAACTAGTAAAAGAACATCTCCCAGACAGAGTGTTTGCAAAATTATGATAGGTAACACTAATTATTACCTTGGTAATCTGTCTCGAAGCAGGGGTCCCCCGTTTGTTTACAACTTTTGTTTCTTACCTTGTGTATTTTTATTATACCCGAATATGGCCATTCTTTAAACGTGAGAAAAAGTACAATCTGCTTGCATATAACGACATATAGATGTGTTTGACGGGGAAATTTTATATTTTCGAGGTATTAATTATACACTCTTACATTTTTTTTTTCATTAAAAAGGGGGGGGGGATTTTCCATACTTCAAGTGCCTGTGATCGGGATGTCCGCCGTCTGCTACTTTGGAATACCCATCTTATATATCTGCAAAGTTCTCCTTTTATACCAATGAATGAACTTTAATGACACTTTCACATAGTCTTTGTTAAATAGTACCATTGTGCACCTCCTATATTACATTTTGATCAGACACATATTTTGGGTTTCCCAGGGCAAAACATGAAAACGATAATTCTTTCTTTAATATTGAAGGGTACGTATACCCATTTCTTATCCGCAATCCCCCTCATATCAATGAACAAAATTTGATGACACTTTCACAGATTAAAAAAAATTAAATAGTGCCATTTTGTACCTCCTTTACTTGTTGATCTGACACTTATTTCTGGTCTCGAAGGCCAGAACATGGACTTTC